TGGTGCTCTGCAGTGTACTGCAGTGTTAAGATATGCTGTAGATAGGCTAGGTGCATTAAATAGTAAGTGTAGGGGCCGGGGAGATGGTTCAGTGGAATAAGTACTTCCCTGGCAAGCGCAAGGGCCTGAGTTCAACCCCCTGTTCTGAAAAAAAAAAAAAAAAAAGTAAGTACTTTCAGCTTACAGTATTTTGGGGCTGGGGAGATGGCTCAGTAGAATACACACATCCCTGGCAAGCGCAAGGGCCAGAGGCCCGCCTGGGCTACACGGTGAGCTGAAAGCCAAGTCAGACCTTCATGGTGAGACTGTCTCAAAAAGAGAAACGAAACAAAACAAAACCAGAAATTCTACAGCAGAGTCTAGCATCTGAGAAATTCATTAATTAGTATGATCTTTCACATACTGACATACTCATCATGAAGCTAAACATAGGCTACAGCAGATTTTAAGATAAAATATTAGAATGGATGAGTTGGGAATGTTCTTAATGATTTTCTTAAGTTACATAGCACTAATACACATTAAAATACTAAGGCTTCATAAACATTTATTATCTAGACTTAAAATTATTTTAGAAATGATGCTACCAAAGGAAAATGTATGCTGGTGACATAATTTTAAAATACCTTTGAATAAAGAAGTCTTTTAAGACTGGGGAGATGGCTCAGTAGAATAAGCGCTTCTCTAGCAAGCGCAAGGGCCTGAGTTCAATCCCTGGTTCCACCCAAAAAAAAAGAGGTCTTGTAGAAAATACTCAGCTGCATATCTTGTAATACACTCATTAACTAAAAGAACACGATTTGTTGCACAAACAGCATTCAATTATTATCTGCAGAACACAGTTAATTCATTCATGGAAATCTAAAGTTGGACAGTGAAAACACCTGCCCTGCTGCGCAGTTCCCCTTCCGCTAATTTGAGCCGGGGAGCTCAAAGAGATCAGACTTTTAAAATGTTTTTCTTTTGGGAGGAAATGCTGGAAAACAAAAGAAAAAAAAAAAAAAAACTGAAGAAATTTATGAAGCTCTCTAAAAAGGGGAGTCAAATATACCTGTAGTAAATACTAATAAAAATTCTGCCCTGGAAGATTAGCATAGGAAAAAAAATTTCCAGACTCCATTAGTTTATCCCACTGAATGCCTAAATAAAATAAAGCAACAATAAGTAAATATGTACTCAATAGCTACCACAATAAAATTCATGTAGAAAAAACTTTATGACCATTTTCCCTCTTACACAGCAGCTATCCTCCAGTACTGACCCTACTCAGCTGAGCTAAAGGATGCAAAGGAGAAGCTTAGGCTGTATAACAGCCCAGGAACCAAGAGGGGCTAGGGACAGAGGGACACAGAGTCCAGTATCTTTTCATTAAAACACCAATCTACAAATGAATGCAACTCTAAGTTATGAACTGGGGATTCACTTATGATACTTGACCTAATTCACTTTAGTACATATGTTGAATTAAAAGGCAACAACCCCTTTGTTTTACCCTTTCAGTGATTTAGACTTGAGGTTTGTCATATAGGAGAAACCAGGCAATAATTAACTAGAGATAGGCTTTTTGGAGATGGGAAGGAGATATAGGGATGCGGGGCAGAGGGATGAAAAGGAGAGGGAAACTACAATGGACTAAGAGGTGATACTGTACCAATTCCCCCTCCCTTGTGAACTGTGTTCATTATGTATTTATTTAATTTTCTGTATTTTAGGGGAGGGTCTACAGGGTGTTCAGGGTCTCACTACTAGATTGGACTCCTAGTGATCTGCCTGTTTATAGCCTCCTAAAAGCTGGGATTACAGGCACACTCCACCACACCCAATCTCAATTGCCACCTCAGTGCATACTGGGGGTGGGGCCAATACAGGCCAACAAGGCAGGCCCAGTGATTGAACCTGCGGCGCCTGCCTGAAGGCACTTTAATCTGCTGAGCTATTTGGCCGGCCCTGTGCTCTTTATGTACTGCAAACTTTTTTTTTTTTTTTTTTTTTCAGAACTGGGAATTGAACTCAGGCCCTTGTGCTTGCCAGGGAAGCACTTATTCCACTGAGCCATCTCCCCGGCCCCTGTACTATGAACTTATACTGAAAAAAAAAAAAAAAAAAAGCCTTAAAGACATTATAATGGCATTATATAAGCTATTTCAAATGAAACTATTAATTTTACTAGAATTTAAGAATAAAAGATTAAAATAATTCAAAGTTTTAACATTAATGTTTTTTGATATCCAGAAAGATTTGTATAAAATCACTCCAGCTTGAAGAAATATAAAATTAAAACTTTGAAAAGAATCAAAAGGTCAGAAAAATTTTAAGATTAATCTACAGTATATATTGCTCCTTAATCTATAATTTATACTGTTACTTAATTGGTGAAAGGTAGAATTTTACAAAACAAACTTTCTCTTCTCTGCCCCAACTTGCAAATAAAGTTCTATCAAAACTGTATATTACTCATGAAAGAATGGATCAGAAAGTGATGAATCTACTTTTCCATCTGTCTGCCTTCACAAGCCAAGATTCCACAAGCAAGACAAAAGTCTATAAGAGAGAATAAAGTTAGCTTTAAATATATTTAACATTTATTTGGACACAATTTTGAAAGGTAAGTAAATAAACTATATATGCAATCAAGAAACTTAACTCACCACTTTTTAGGCTTTGATAATGGTTTATATTTGCTGTATTTTACCCGCCACTCAAGAACTTCTTTACAGCGCTGACATACTCCATCATGTAGTTTTGCATTAATTTTCTTAAAAAAATAAATAGAAAAACAAATTAAGAATATCCCTTGAGCTGGCATGACAAGCTTTATAAAAAAGGCACATAAAAGTGTGTTTTATAAAACAATATTCGAACTTTATGTAACATTTCATGGTAAGATTGTGTACTTTATGTGTATTATTCAACTTGATTCTTTACAAAGGCAATGTTCTTAAGGGAGTTTAGCTCAGAATCATCTAGAAAACTTTTAGGTTTTTTTTATTTTTTTTTATTTTAGGGCAGGGTCTACAGGGTGTTCAGGGTCTCACTACTAGATCAGACTCATTGCAATCTGCCTGTTTACAGACTCCCAAGAGCTGGGATTACAGGTGTACACCACCACGGCAGGCCCAAGGATGAAAAACCCACCCCACACCTGTTTGCAGGCACTTTAATCCACTGAGCTATTTGGCCGGCCCGTAGAAAACTTTCTAACCTCCTCGCAGGTGTACTTTAAGAAACCTCACCTACTGATCCTGATGTATATCATCTCCTGATGGATCAAAACTCATATAGTTTAGCACATATATTTTATATGAATGTACCTTAATAAAAATGTAATTAAAAAACTAGTTTATATTTTAAGACCACTGTTTCAACAATTCAAATGTTACCAGTGAGTTGATTAACCTGGGAAATAAAAGAATCTTGAATTACAGGGCCGGGGATATAGCTCAGCAGCATAAGTGCATGCCTGGCAAGTGCAAGGTGCTGAGTTCAATCCCTGACACTGTAAAACAAAAAAACAAACAATAAAAACAAAGAAAGTTGAATTAGTTTGCACAGTGTAGGCTGTGAAATGAGGTGTGCCAGGGAGAGGTATGCAGGAAGCCAGAAGGCAATTCCTTTCTTGGTTTAATCCCTTTGCATTCTCATGTAAGGACAAATGTTTTAGAAAAAAAAGTTTTGTCTTGCCAACTTGGATTCATCAAAATAGAAAGCTACTCATTTTACTTCATAAGAAGTAAAACAATAAGCCACGATACACATATACATAAACTAATGGCAATCAAGAAACTTAACTCACCACTTTTTAGTCTTTGATAATGGTTTATATTTGCTGTATATTACCTGCCACTCAAGAACTTCTTTGTAACACTGATACACTCCATTATGAAGTGTTGCATTAATTTGAGAAGCTTAGGAGCAAAGGGCTTTATGAAGGAAGAAAACATTTTACTTATAATTTTTTTCTCAAAAAAAATTAAAATAATTTTCTTCTCAAAAACTGCTGAGATGGGAATACCTTATAATGCATATTTTACTTTTTTTTCAAAAAATATACTTACTTGATTTACATCCTAGATAATATTTTCACAAAGAATTCTGAGAATTCTCTCATTTCTTTTGGACGAGGAATGTTGGAAGTGAGTAGAGAACATTTTAATTTTTTAAACTTTTTTTGTTTCCTTTCTTGGTCAAGGAGAAAAGCATCACAAAGATACAGACTGTTTGGGAAGTTGATAGTGAATGAAAAGCACAATGCTTAGATCAGGTCACCTGAAAGAAAAGACTTTTGAAAACTGTCTAATATTTTTGAAAGCACTCAATAAGATGAACTAAAAAAAAAAGATGAACTAATGACAAAACATTTATTCAGAGAGCAAATATTTCAAGGGTATTTTAAAAAAACCATAAATTAATCCATGAACATTACAGTTGAATTAACGCTGGAGAAAGACATACTCTGTGACTTATGAATTATGTAGAGGTTCCTTTCTTCCTGGGAGAGTTCCCAGAACAGTAAGCTCTGCCTGCCACTGTCTGCACCTTCCGAGGCCCGACAGAGCAGGACGCTGGTGCCCACACACTAGGCTCCCGTTCTCCCCACCTAGATGCTAACTCATCACTCGAAGCGCTGGCTAAGCGATGCAACAGCTGAAGCTCACAATTGATCACTTGTTCTCGCTGGCCTCTGGTGCCTCTGTAAAATATGATTCCACTATAAACGGATATAAACTTTCTAACGAGAACATTCTTAGAATGGAGAACATTTCATTACCTTCAATTTTACATGTGCCTGTTAACTAGCTTATTAATTAGGCAGCATTATTTGGTTTCCTGTTTGCTTCCATATCCAATTTCTGACTAGTTCATCTTGATTTACAAAGCCCTGCATAGCTTGGAAACTGGTTTCTTTAGGGTGGATCAACAACAGTAGAACAAAACAGATCTTTGTGAGAACTCGTCCTGTGAGTGATGTGTGAAGCAGTATAAATGGAGACGTTGTACAGAGTTCACATGACTGACTGGCATGATTACGAAATTAAACTTGATTTCTATGTGTTGAGCAAAGAGTAAAGGGGAGGATGAAAATAAGTGCATTTTCACTTAAAAATAGGTGTACATAGAAAGTGTGTACTTTGTCTTATTGTATTTTAGCAAACCAGAAGTAAATCCAGTCACGTCAGCAAAGAAAAATAAACCCTAGTTGTAGGAGTTGTTCCACCTGGGGCAAAGGGCATGGCACCCTTACCTTATCCTGTGCCTGCAACTGACCTTACTTTGGTAATTGTCAGTATAGTCTTCCTAGAGCACAGGTCAAGGTTAAGAGTTAAGTATGCCCATATATAAAATCAACTTTTTCTTTGGTGCCAGGAATCGAATTTAGGACCTTGAACTTAGCAGGAAGGTGCTTGTGCTGCTGAGCTGTATCCCCAGCCCCAAAACGTAATTTTACAAATATAAGTCTTTAAAGATAATTCAATTATTTTCCAAATTTTTAAGGGGAAAAAGCTTAGAGTCCACTGATCTAAGAAGCTAGCTAAAGAAATCCTTACTTATTAAGTGAGTAATTTAAAAGTCAGAATAGGGACTGGGGAGATGGCTCAGTAAAATAAGTGCTTCCCTGGCAAGCGCAAGAGCCTCAGTTCAATCCCCAGTTCCACCAAAAAAATCAAATAAATAAATAAATAAAAGTTAGAATAAACAAGTATATCAAAGACATTGTTGATACACACCTTGTAAAATGTTTTAGCCATCATTTTGGCCATAAAACAATTTTAGACTAAGTGATGGCACTCTTGCTGTAAACATGCTGTTGTCAGATAATGGCTTTCGTAATATAATAAGCAATCCAAACTGCATGAAGACTGTAACTCCTTAGAAGGCAGCAAAAGGGAAGTGTAAGTATAGCATGTGACAACATGCTGATGCTGAAAAGTATTTCATACAATAAGAAGGATCATTCAACTGAAGGATGATGCCACTGTGAACAAAGAAACTTGACTACTATTGAAAAGCTACTAATGTAAGTTTTCTGTGGTACTTACATATAATTCTTTAGGAAATGCTGAAGGTAACTGCAAATTATTTGTTACTTCTTTTAATTAAAAATAATGAAATTCGGGCTGGAGAGATGGCTCAGTGGTCTAAAGCACCTACTTAGAACAAGCTTAGCAAAGCATCAGGGACCGCGGTTCGATCTCCCAGCACCACATGCCAGCCAGCCCCACCCCCTGGTGGGCTGAGCTGGCCACACACACCACACACACTCACTCTCTCTGTCTCTCTCTCTGTCTCTCTCTCTGTCTCTCTCTCTCTCTCTCAAATAAATTAAAAAAAAAATAATGAAATTCTCAAAGAAAAATGTCAATTCTACCTGCTGCTGGAATTCATTTCTGTGTACTTGCTGTGGCCTTTGTCCCACTCTAGTTTTACCTTTAAAAAAATAATTTCCTCCTGCAGGGCCTGGTGGTGCATGTCTGGCTGAGACAGGAGGATGGCCACCAGCCTGAGGACTACGTAAGTGAATTCAAGTCCACCCTGAACTACTGTAGTGAGACCCTAGATGCTAGTTGAGTACTTCAAAAAAGGATGGAGGAATCAGGATGAAGTGGAACGAAGGCCAGGTACAAAGCCATCAGGAATACAACTGGGAAGTGCACCTGCTAGGAGGGGCGGAAGGAACACCTAAGCTTTCTAGCAGCGGGTGAAGCACCTCAGTGTCTGTAACCCACCAAGGTCAGTTTCTTAGGAGCAGCACAACTACATTTGTTACTGAAACACAGTTTCATCTTTTCCCCCAAAAGTTATCATATAATCCAGTAAGCACAAGTTTCAGAACAGCCTACAACATAAGGCACTTCACAGAAATGGTAACTACACCAGTTCTCAGTGTCAGCCTGTGTTATCATGCCCAGAATGCAGTAACAAAGTCATTCTGAAGAATGCAATGAATACAAATCCCCGGTGGTCACAGACTTTCCTAGGAACACACTGCATGTGCCAAGGCCATCTTCAATAAATACTGTTTTCATCAGCTGCATGCTAAGAGCTTTCTGTTCTATTATGAAGAATGCATAACTTGCACAAAAGTGTTTTAACACAGCCATATACACACTGCCAGGAGGTAACAATTAACATTTTACCAATTTACTTTTGTGTGTGTGTGTGTGTACAATTAAGCGAAGGACATAAGACATTTTATCTCTCACTACTCATATCTTTTTATTTTTTTAACTACTCATATCTTAGAAATATACTGTCCTCTATTTAATCGCACTAGTACCACACCTAAGAAAACTGAACAATAACTCCATAACATCGGTGAATTGAACCAGTGTTTACTCCAGTTTCCTAAGTGCTTCAGAGCTGCTCCCACACCCACCCTCACCATCAAAACCGGACCAAATCAGTACTCAAGTACTTCTTCTGATTTAGAGGTGTCTCACCCATATCTTATTACACAGTTTATTATGCAAATGCCAGGCAAATTTTCTTGGAGAACCCATATTCCAGAGTTTTCTGGTTGTTGTCTCACACTATAATTTAACTGTTTTACTTCCTATATTTTCTGTAAATAAGAAGTTTGATTTAAGGCTTGACAGCATCCAGATTAGAAATCTTTTGATCACAATAGTGCACAGCCGTGACTGCTGGTACTGTGTTCATGTACCACTGCAAGTCACAATGTCTAGTTCTCACTAGGCAGCAGTGCTGAATGTGAGTGATGGTGCAATCAGGGCTTGCAAGGGAAACAATTTAACA